ATCATTCAGTTCGGTGGTGAAGTTTAGCAATCGATCGGACATGTGCTCCATCAAGCGCAACAGCTAAAACGCAAACACTTTTAACCAGGGTCCATGCATATCATTGACAGCTGTTGATTTAACGTATGCTACTGTTCCGTTTTAATCTTACCGCATCGTCCCCGGACAGACACCAATCCCGTGAGTGCAGTCTGATCTGTTCAGCTGTCCACAATTGTTCGTCGGCCATTTCACCGCTTTTCAATTCACGCATTGTCTGGTCTGGAAGCGACTAAATTTTTGATTTTTACAAGATACTGGGGGAAAAGGCACAGATATAAAGAATCTGTCTGTGACAAACGCTTTGTTAGTATAAATCGAGCAGTGCAGATAGTCTTCAACATTTTTTACATATATAATTTTAATGCTGAGGCAGCAATCTAATTGTTTGATTAATTTTTGCTTCTTCGTAACTTTCTAAGTCACGTAGGAGGTAAACAGCTTTACATATATAGCAATATATAAGAAAAAACAAGTGTTGGTTCTGATGAAGCAATAAACCAATTAAACATAACATCGCGGAGATAAATCGTTTGAGTTATTGCGATTTCCGTGTCTTACGAGCACACCGAACTCCTCCAACTCCTGTGACATGGCGTACAGAATCAGGCGTATGAGATCTGCGAGACGGCATGAAGGACCGTATGATGCACGCACATTCCATAGCTTCTGTAATCGAGACCGAGAAGTAAATGGGCCTAACCAACTACAGGATTGCCTTCAGAGCGACTTTACGTGCTCGACGCGCTCCTCTTTAGGACATCGGACACCACACCAAATCTTCATCTCAGCATCAGCCTAGAAAATGACATTCTCCTCTCAACCATGTGACTCGTAAGTTAAAGGACTCTGAGCGACAATATACCACTACCAAAGCGATTACATAATCTGGAGGGCAGGATGTCGTGCGATTTTAAATATGCACGATTGCAACTGACCGTAGGTTGTCCTTCTCTATTCCCTTCTAGCATAGCTCTGGGGCGATGGGTTCCATGAATAAACGATCCGCACACTCGTCAATATACGCAAAGTCGCCAATACCACGCCTATACCCAGGCTTTTATCAAGTCATGGCAATTGTCTCTTCCGCGGCACGGATGTGACGTCGCTTCGATAGTTTCGCTGTAGACAACAGCTGTTGGTTTGCTATATACTGGCAATCAACTGGTATCCAAATCACGGCATGATAACCTGAATGGAAACCATCTAGATCACAGTCAGCCAATTCATTTGGCTGGAGGAATGATGTATCTGCGACGATGCACAGGTTCTGCAAACACCGTGACATTCCAAGACGTGATGCTAACATCCCTGATCACCGTCGAAGCATCATGAGAGGTATCCATGCAGAGGGAGTAATGTGATTAAGAATTTTATTACCGATAGGTAGAAGTCGGTTCGATTGCGATCACATTTAAACTGTGACCATTTAGTCTGCCGAGATCGGTACCTGCAAGAGTTCGAATGCTTACAGGTTGTTAGCATCCCCTTCATACAAACAGTCCCCTTTCTTGCCGCCTTGAATACAAGAAGTTTCGATATATAAACCACTAGGTGCCGTACTACCCAAAATGGGGCTTTTAGTCAGTACAACAGTAGCATATATTAGGCACATAAGCCAAGCGGGCTCCACTGATTCATGTAGAAGAGGAAGGTGAAAGATTCTGATATGATATTCCGGCGAAAACTTCATTTTTTCAATAGTTCGGTGAATTTATTGTTTATCAGAGGGCAAAGCGTTTTCGAGAACATCGGCTTTTCAAAACTCATTTTTACAGTATCGCAAAGAAAAAAAACACCATTTAAGAAAATTATCAGCTGTTCATTTCAGCTGGAGCAATACAGGCAATACATTAATACGTTACAGTCAATAACAGATGAGTAAGTTGCAATGTTTAGCGCAATATTTTTTATCGGATGCCTGTTGCGTACATTGCAGATGATTGCAGCATATATGAATTTCATGTCAATTGGAATTGTAATATTTATGCAGTCACTCACTTTTGGCTGGTCTAAAATTAAATAAAGAAATAGTATGGCGAATACCGGTGGCTATACTTCACGGCATGCTGGTCAACTGATGATTCTCACAGTAAGGAAATGCGTTCAGAGTAAGCAAGTCGTTGATCAACATTTTTAAATATATTGCTGCAACCAATTTATAAGAAAAATTACCTCCTAATTATGTATTGCATTTGCAAAATAAGGCTAAACGTGAGTGATCGATATAACTAGGTAGTTTTCTTCATCAAATTTGTTGCCTACCGTCCCAAAGGTTTGTCCATCAGTTTATTGAGCCGGCAGTTCCAGGGTGGCCGTCAGCCCGATACAAAACCGTATCTACAATAAATCATACCTTAATAAAGAAAACGAGTGGATGTTTGCAAATTATGTCATTACATGCGACTAGCCAGTTGGCACAAAAGTCATTCACAGTCAATGAACTCAGGGTTGGAGTCCATATTAAAATTATATTGGTCAGTGGGTGCTGCTGGTCGGCCGTTAGCACAGCCAGGCTGTTTTTGTGTTGGCTGAACGACAACCCTGTTGCTGAAACTCCATAGGTGCAGCAGAGGCTCGGTAAAAACCCCTAAACCACGCAACTGTGAGCGGTATACCGACACCAGTACTGAATGGTCTCCGCCATTTGATCTCCCAATGACTGTTGCATTGAATAAAAGGCTGTAAGGTGGATCAATATGAGATCAGGATCTCAATTCTGACACAGACATTACCAACTTCCATTCTGGTATGTTGCTTTTCACGCGAACTCCATGCAGGATAAATCAGTCTGTAACCTGATTGTTGTTTAACGGCAAGCCGCTCAACCCTGACGCAAATTTAATGGATCGTCATATATCATCGATCCTTCAGTCATGGGCTAGAAAGCCCAGGAAAGCAGTAATTACGGCATATATGTGTATATGAAAAAGCTCAGTTCACAAAAAACACGAAGCTGTTAACTTTTTTTCGTAATGAAAGGTAGGTTGTAGATTCCTTAACTCATAGCAGATTCTTCACGATAAGAAAATGTCCCAATTGCGGCCGAACTTATTTTCTCGCTTGAAAAAATGCTCTGAGGTTAACTTTTGATATGTGAAATGACAAATACCGGGGTACATCTGCATCATTTGTGAACATAGTTAACAGGGGACTGTTGCACCAGTCAGAAAAATGTCCTCAAGTCACGCGTTGACGAGTAAACTGGCGAAGTTTTGGCGCAGTAACTGAATTAATGTATCACTTGGTTGGTTGTTTTTAATACAGACTTTTCGTAACAAAGGAAAATTAAACACGTTACGCTGGTGCAAACATTTGCTCGGTTGTGTTTGGCTTCCACTGACTAGAGTTAATTTGCTTTGCCGACCGACGTGCTGAATAAGATATCGCTTCCCAACCACTGAAAGGTGGTCACCACCAGACAGAATCTAATAATGAACCACCAGAGCCTCGCTCGATATTTTGGCGTTTACGACAGGTTTTCAAGTCAACTGGGAAAGAAACATTACCGCAATACAGCGAAATAGGAATGTTACTTTGATCCTCCTAAACGCAACAAGAGGATAGCTCGTACGAAGCGAAAGATTTCCCACTGTTTTTAATTTCTTTTGGGTCGCTAGCAAGCAACTTCAGACACACACACCTCTAGCGAGACAGAAGTCTGCCACTAAGCGAATTGGAATTGAAGAACGTAGAATCAGCGATCAGCATACCCCTAGCAAATAACATACGATAAAAATAACAGTGAACAAAGCTGATCCGTGATGCAACGGTTACAGACATCAACGATACAGCAGCCGTAACTCAATACATGTTGGTTTTAATGCTACTACAGTTATACATTCTTTACCATTACTTGTCCCCTTACTGTTTAATTCTCTAACACTGGTCCAAAAGGGGATAACTTTTGTTCTTTTAATCTATGGGTTGTAATATGCAATGCCACATTTATTTTGCCCTCTGTTTTGCCGTATTTTGTCCTTACCCGAGGACTTCTTGTATGTTAAAGAAATAGCTAATTGTCAAACATGCTACTCAAGCAGTACCCGAACATTAGCAAATCTTACCGCTTTAGAACACAATTATGGATGAACCATATGAACACAAAGCTGTAAGTTAATGGCGTAACAGCAAAACTGCTGGACCATCTCATAACGGCCATGTATTCTCCATGCAACTCTGGACAACGATATGCACGTTAACCAAATGCTACTATCTTCATTACAATTAACGAGCCTAGTGAAATCTGGGTTGAAAGGGTGAGAACGATGTATCACCCGAGAGTTCAAATAAATATAAGAACAAGACTACATCTGGCGCCTTACACTGGTCAGATGAAAAAGATATTACGTTTTAAGCACTGGTATTCTAACAGTTTTGCGATAATACAACAGCGTAAACATTTGATACAATGTTATAAAGAACTTTTCACTGGAAATCTTATAACTACAAAACAACAGAAAACGCTAGTATGCTCAAGTAGTGTGCTTTTAAGTAGCATAGCACGTAAAAAGCATGGTAACAGCACCGAACAGGGGTAAAGATCAGCAAAAACAGGATCAGGCAGTATACTGCATAACAAAGTAAACCTTAAATGCATTAGAAACGCGATTATTGAACGAAAAACTCAAACATAACAAACAGTGAAGAAGCTGGTCAGACATGAACTTAAAGTTCTGACGGATCGTGCGTATGCAGCTGTTCCCCATAGTCTGTCGCTTGACTGCCAACGAAAACTTCGTAGTGGGTCAACACTTCCTCTTTGGATAGCTTGCCGTCCTAAACATAAGCAGTGTTACTAAAATGGCTGAAAGTAAACCCAATGTTAAAATAATACGGCGGCTTTCAATTCAATAGCATTAACGTGATGTAGGTAATTTGATCTCAAGGCACCACTGGAGAGAAAATGCAGTCATCCACTCCTCAAGGAAAGGACGACACGAAGAATATTTCTTACAACTTTTACACAGCGCTCGTCAGTTCTCTTCACTTCTGATCTTTCCATCCAGCGCTATTGCGATCTCGCGCACGGAGGATAGCTCGCTTGCACTGTTTTCCATACACAGTACCCATTACGTAATACAAAAAAATCCGTTTTTGTTTCTAGAAAATTTTTGAGCAGTGAACGACAGAATGAAACGGTCTTCACCTGCTAGTGACTTGAGAGGTCGTTCGGAAGTAAGGTCATATTCAGAACGACATAAATTTGCAATTAGTTTCCACGATCCATCATTAATCGTATTGCAGAGGCTCGTAAAGAATTTTACAGGTTTCAGTCAGGTTGGATAACCACTCGGAGACTTTGTCACATTAAGTTCAGCATCGCCATACAAGAAAATGTTATTCTCAAACGCTGGGAATCTCAGGTATAACTGTCACCATTCTATCACTGACAGAGTCAGGCAAAGAGAGATGTATTCATATGGTCCTTGGGACGCACCTGAAGACGGAGAATGGCAACAACACCTCGAGTACGGTAGATTTCAGACATTTCTGGAGCCCTGTAGGACTTGTCGATTTCTGTCCGTTTGTTATGCATTTATTTGTGAGATTTTTTAAGTGATCTCTCCCTCTGTCTCACTGCAGGTATAAGTTTGCCTCATTTTTAGAAATTTTACCTTATTATCATCAGACAAGTGCAAGAGGTGATTAGCTTCGGCTTCGACGTTGTCGAAACCAGGCGGCATCAGCCAGTTTCTCATTTCCTCAGCGTCCATCTTGCCGTCGCCGTTTTTGTCACGATACTGCTTGAACATCGTTCGTTCAGAAGCAACCCAATCTGGCTCCGTCTTCTGGTCCGGATAGTCCTGAGGTCGATAGAGGTCGTCTGCGAGAAAACAATTCTTAGAATAATACTTCGCAAGAATTAAGACAGCTTTTTACTTATATACTCTTCCAAATCTACAAATCCATCGCCATTCTTGTCCATGTCTTCCATGGTTTCCTAAAGAAACAGCAACATGAAGAACAAACCG